TGACTTCATGCTTAGTAGTGAGACATCAGATGCTTCCCCTAAAACTGGAAACAAGGCGAGGATGTCCCTTCCCACCACTGCTATTCAACATGGTGCTGGAAGTCCCAGCCAATACAAAAATAAGACCAGAAAGGAAATAAAAGGTATACAGATTGGGAAGGAAGAAATAAAATTGTTTGCAGATGACTGTTTGTGTAGAAAGTCCCAAAGAACCAAGAAAATCCCTCCAGGAACTAGCAAGTAATTACAACAAGGTGGTAGAGAATAGCAGCTTAATACACAAATGTCAATTGCTTTCCTATATACCAGAAATGAGCAATTGGAATTTGAACTTAAAAACATAATGCCATTTATATTAGCACCAAAACCAAAATTACTTAGGTATAAATCTAACGAAATGTGTGTAAGATCTGTGTGCGGAAATCTACAAAACTCTGATGAAATAAATCAAAGTAGATCTATTTAAATGGAAAGGTATTTGATGTTCACAGCTAGGAAGACTCAATACGGCGTTGTTAAGATGTCTTTCCTCCCAGCATGGTCTCCTGAGATTCGATGCAATCCCAATCAAACAGCAAGTTGCTTTGTGGATATCAACAAACTGATTCTAAAGTTTACACGAAGAGGCGAAGGCTAAGAACAGTGAACACAATGTTGAAGAACAAAAGTCAGAGGACTCTGACACTACTCAACTTCGAGACTTACTAGGAAACTACAGTAACTGAGACAGCGTGGTGTCAGCGAAACAGAATAAAGAGCCCCGAAAGTGACCCATGAAACTACAGGTAACCGATCTATGCCAGGGATGCAAAGGCAATCCGATGGAGGACAGTATTGGGTGACCCGAAAAGTTCGTGTGTTTTTTCCTGTAAAATACAAGATGTTCTTCATTTTCACCAATAACTTTATTGATTTGGTTACCTTGAGTATGTCGGTTAGCTCCCACATGATCATTCTCAATTAACATCTTGATTTGATTGCTATCAGCTTCCACTGGCCTACCTGACCGTGAGCACCTCTCCCTGGCCGTGGAGCATTGTCCAGGGAGGAAGCTCCAGCACGAGACTTCACAAACCTCTTTCGGCACATTTGATCAAGTCACAGCACCTTCTCCGTACACTGTAAAAATCTTTTGTTTTTCTTTTGCGTTTCGTTGTGTTTTTACCTTTCTTGAAATAATGAAGCATAATATGCTGAAAGTGTTGTGCATTTTCTTCCATCTTCAGTATTTAAATGGCTATACAAACATTCACCAGCTTGGATAAGCTTTAAAATGCACACTGATATGACAGCTGTCACAATACAATCTAACAAAATTGTTTTGGATAAAGTTAAAGACAACTAAGTGCTATTAGAGCCATCTAACGGGGGAAAAAAACAAGTGAACTTTTTGGCCAACCCAATATTTTCGACAAATAGTGCTGAAACAGCTAAGCATTTATGTGCATAAAAATGAATCTAGACACTGACCTTGTGTCTTTTGCAAAAATTAGCTAAAAAAGGATTAGAGACCTGAAGTAAAAGGCAAAACTATAAAACTTGTGGAAGATAGTAGGAGAAAATCGAGGTGCCCTTGGATTTGGCGATGGAGTTTTAGATGCAACACCAAAAGCATCATCCATGAAAGAAATAATTGATAAGTTGGACTGTATTAAAATTTAAAAACTCTGCTCTGCAAAAGACAATGTTAAGAGAATGAAAAGACAAGACACAGACCGAGAGGAAGTATACCTGGCGCATAACAAGAGCTATGTAAATATTCGTTAGGTAGAATGAATGAGTAAGAATGAATGAGGCTTTGGCAGCCAGACGCCTCCAGCAGGACTTCAGAATCCGATTTTCACGCCCTGGACACCTGCAGGCACTCTCACTGGGAGAACCACCTCCATCGATCCTTCTTGTTATTCTCCAACCCTTCATCCTGTTTCTTTATTAGAATCTATGAGACCTAAAATAATTAGGCTTATTTGTCTGCAGGTTACTGTCTATCAGCCCCCACTGGCCTGTGGGTGCCATGAGACCAAAGGCCATGGCTGCTGCGCTCACTTCCGTCTCTGCAGCGGAAGATGGAAGGTGCGTGCGGGGCTGCTGGGCTGGGCTGTGACGACGCCCTGTCCCAAAACAGCAAGTGGTCCAGTGGGGGAGGGGGCGGGCAGGGAGGCACTCCGCACAGACTGACAGCGGGCTAAACATCCCCGCAGAGGAGTGTTCAGGGTGCTAGGGACTGGAGCAGGTGAGAGCAGGCTTGAAAATGGGGTGGAGCCAAAGCACTCAGGGCCACACGGGCCTGGTACTGAAGTTCCGTCAGAGATGGCTCCAGAGGGAGGGGAGCACAGGAACGGGCTTGAAAATGACACACAGAGCCAGGCCCGTGACTGGCATCCGGAAGTGTTCAGAATATCCAGAACAGTCTAAGCCGTCTGAGGTAAGTGAGGGTAGATCTTTGAGTACCTCTCCCCCAAGTGCAGACTTTCCCTCTCGCCGGGGGTCCTAGAAAAAACAGCCCCTCAAGGAGGATCGAGGACATCTCATCCCTGGGCACCCTGTCCAACCCTCACGCTGGGGATGGCAGAAAACAACCGACAGCTTAGCGCTGTTTGCTGGAAAACCAACAGGCCTGTGGGTCTGCGGATCAAGGGGCTCTGCTACCATGGCAACAGTGACAGGGCAACCCTAAACTAAGAGAATAAGAGGAGCAGCCCAGAAAAGGTTTAGAGAGCAATCACAGCAGACACCTAGATGGAAACACGGAGACAGGGCACCCGGGTTGAGAGCCAGAGCCGGCTCCCCTCCAGCCCTGCCTCGGAAGGTCTGGATGCCCCGGGCAGGACCCTCCTGCTTTCTGACTCCATTTCCTCATCTGCACAGAGAAGCATTTCCGTGGTGCCCTGCAGCTCCTCAGTTTGAGAACCATTGCCCTGGGAGGTCTTGCAAGGGCGAGGGCTCTATGCCTAGAACTTCTCACAGAAAGAAAGGAAAGAAGGAAGGTGTCGACAGCAAACCATTACTTCCACAGGTAAGACTCTGCAAGACCGATCTCTTTTAAATGGTCCAAGGGGTGAGGCTTCCTGAGTCCACTTCTGGAGTCTGCTGACTCAGGGTGACTCAAGCGCTACAGCTCCCCCCTACCCCCCACCACAGCGGGAGCCTGGGAAACCCCTAGTGAATGCTCAGTCCCCACCTTCACCTTGAATGGAGGTAGCAACATCCTGTCTGCTTGCCTGCCCTTGGGCTCAGCATCAAGCCAGTTGGGTCTGGTTTCTGTCCACCGGCCCCCGCTCCAGGTCTCCCCATGGGCTCTCTTCAACTGGCCTTTCTAACCTTTCTGTGTCCTGGACCCTCGCCCAGAGGTCTATGAAAACCCCTAAAAACCGCCAAGCACTGTCATGCATTGAAAGTCAGGGTTGGGTAGTAAGTGAGAGGGTAGTTAGTGGTGTTGCCACTAACCTGCTGGGTAATCCTGGGTAAGTTATCTAACCTCTCTGGGCTTCTGGTTCCCCATCATTAAAATGAGATCACGCCTCCTCCACAGGATTACTGAGGACACAGTGAAGTTAACACACAAAGCTAGCTATCACCACCGCCATCATTATTACTACCATTGGCGTTACTGCCTGAGGTTGTCATCACCCACTAGCCGGGGGAGGGGCGGCCCAGTTAGCCAATGGCTGCTCAGCTCTTCCTCACACGGACACCCTGACTGGATTTCCAGATCCTGGCGGTGGGTGGAGAACTCCCTCGGGATGGACTGGGGGGCGGACGGGGCAGCTCCTTTGCCTCCTGTGCAGGTAAATGGCGGCCAGATATCACCTCCATTCTGGAAACAGCCTGTCTACCCAAGTGTCCTCAGCAGAGTCCTGCCCCCTTGATCCAGGGGCACAGCCAGTGCTGGCTCTGCTTCCTCCCAGGATGTACACTTAAGGCAACGAGATGGAGGCGCACAGCCCTAAATCTCCCTCCTGAATCTCCGCTGTCAGGAACCGTGCCCTCAGCCACTGCTCCGGCTGCATCACTCCTCACCGGGCCAAGTAATCCCTCTGTCCGTCTCTAGACAAAGGAGTCTGGGCGTCTCATTTGCTAGAAAACCTGCTTGTCTAGAAGGATATAAACTGTCCCCGATGCATAAAATGACCATTTCCAGTTTAGCTTAAGAATTCACACTAAAATCCACACAGATATTTCTGTGACAATTGGGAGAACTGGAGAAGATTCCAGCTTTCTCACTAGAATTTGCTGCACTGTAGGAAAGCCATGACACACAGCACACCCTGTTCAGCCGGCTTCCTCCAACAAAGGCATGTTCAACCGTCCTGAGAGGAAATCAGCGGAAATGCAAACTCCCGCAACTTGGATGTCCCCCCTTGGGAGTGTCCCAGGAAGATCGCTGAGTGGAGGGTGAGGCTGAACGCAAGATCATTCCAACAGATACTTAATAATGCTTTTATGCAACATTTAAAAAAGGTTCAACAGCAAATCTCTGATGTCAAACGTGTGAAAATAAATCTATGGTATTTCACTTTGAAAATCATACAGTCGCGCAAAGGAGCCCTCAGCATGCCCATTCCCGAGCAGCGCTCGCCAGGGGGCCTATTTTACAGAAGAGAATAAGAACGGACCAATCGATAGATACTGTACGTGAGGATTTCTACAACGTGTCGGAAGTATACTCATTTAAGCGGCCCAGATTCCCCTTCCTTCTGGATATACCAGCACACCTAGACAAGCTCTCTCACCACTCCCCGCCCTGCCAGGAGTGAAGACCTTGTGCCCGGCCTTCCCGACATGACGCAGGCCTCAGACGGGAGGGAGCAGCAACAGTGAGGTGCTCCTGATGGAGCACGTGGCCCGCGTGGACCTGGGACGATTCCCCCGTGACGACCCCGGTTTCCTCCCACGAAGGGCACCTTGGACGGCCGGCCGAGCAGACGGGCTGCCTCTGTCCCTGTGTGTCTGGGAGTGGCGTCCCGCAGGCCTCCCTCCCGCTGGTGGCCGGCGCTTACCTCCATGCTGTAGCTCTCCACTGTCCTTCTCAGGGGGTCCACAGCCTGCCAGCAAATCAGGATGCACAGGTCGATGAGCAGCATGCCCCCGACGATCACAAGCAGTTTCTGGTCCTTGATGATCTGCAGAGAGGGCAAGAGCAGGGAGTGGGGGACATGAGAGACAGCTTCACGGGCAGAAGCTGGAAATCGGGTCACCTTCAGCCTGAGGATCTCCTGAGACCCTCCGTCATCTATAGGATAAATCAGCCAAGCTCCTCTGCCTGACATTCAAGGTCTTTCCTGAGCTTGGCCTGGCCACACCTCCCCCTCTCACACACGCGGGCGCTCGGTCAGCCTGACAGCTCCTGGTCTGCAGCCCTGCTGCGACCCTCGCCTCCCACTCCTTCTCAGGGGCCACCTCTTTGGCTGCAACACTCTTTCCTTTCAGTCTGGCAAACTCCTAATAGTCATTAAAGACCCAGATCCATTGTCGCCTCCTCCACGAAGTCCCTCTCACTCCCATGGCAGAACTAATTTCTCCAACAGCACTGTCTGCACACTCGTCAGGGGTAGTGACAGTAGCACAGACATCAGCACCAAAAAGAACAGCTGCCGTTTAATGAACGCTCACTCTGTGCTGCCTCTGGGTTGACCCTTTCCATACATCATTTCACACATAAAGACACGCATTATTATTCCCATTTTATGGATAAAGAAACTGAGGCTGGTGCAGGGTTAAGTAACTAGCTCGGCACAATATTGCTACTAAGTGGTGAAGCCCCGATTTGAACCCAGCTCCTCCTGTCTCCAGAGCCCGTGCCCTGCGATAGTTACAGCCCCGACCAGATGCTACACCAAGTTGTATCCACACCCGCCCTCCCTGGTAAACATTTATTTGTGCGCCTGCAGTACCTGGCAGGGCCTGGCACCCCGTGGGGAGCTGGCTGGATTGCACTGAGATGAAGGACTATAAAAGGGAGAAATACAACTCCCATCCCTCTGTGCAGCCTGTGATATCTTTATTGCGTCGTGGAGCTCCCACCCCACTTTCTGTCTGTCTGGTAGGGACTGGCCTGGGGACAAACACTGTCAGTGCCGAAGCGAACCGGTGTCTCACTCGCTGCCTGTTTATGGCCCCCCTCCTCCCAATAAAAGCTAATGTGATGAAGTAGTCCGAGAAAGGATTATAGAAAAAGAAACAAAACTGAGGCAGAAGCTGAAGAAATATCACCAGGTCTGGCTTTTAATGATTAAAGCCATTTTTAAACTGGAAACGGAAACTCAAGGGGCTGCTCTGCAGCCAAACTGTGAAAAGAACAGGAAGACAGTGTTTCTGAGCTGGTGCCAGAGAAATCCAATCCACCAAAGCCACTTTATCTGGGGGTGGGCGCTGGCAGAGTCCCTTCTTGAAGATTTTCCAGAAGCCTCTAGTGAACCACCCGTGCTTTGCAGCAGCCCAGCTAACCTGCGCCCTCTGGGGAGCTAAGCAACGCCCTGCCAGCCTTGGGAAGTTGGGGCGAAAGGAAGAAACGCCCGAGGAGCTTAGGACTCAGAGGACAGGCTGGCAGGGCAATGCCCTCGCGGGGCCGTGTGAGCCCCCATGCACTCGTCCGCACGGTGCCTGACCGCTGGAAGGTCTTTCCCCAACCTTTCTGCCGCACCCTCCTACCCTCGTGTCCCTGTGAGTAGCCACTTCACACTGTACGTGTGATAGCGTGACTCACGTCTGTCTTCCTACTACATGGTGAGCTCTGCGCAGCTTGGCTTTCGCTAATTGCCCTATTCTTAGCGCCTGTCCGAGCCACGCCTGGGAACAGCACTCAGTAAGCACTGGCTGATGGATGATGATCTAGGCAGACAAGCCCCGAGCACTCGCTCGCGCCAGCCCTGTGCCCAGCACTGGCGACAGAGATGGACAGACTCCGGCGTCGCCCTCCAGGGCTGGCAGGAGAGACAGACTTGATTACAAGAGGGTGCTGGAGGACAGGAGGTGGCTTCACAGGGGAGGAGCTGGAGGCCCCTGGGGGCTGGTGGGGAGGGGACGTCAGGCAGAGGAAGCAGCAGGGCAACCTCACAGAGCGGGAAGAGCTCCCGGGATGGCAGCTGAGGGGAGGGCCTATGGCATGTCACCCCTGGTTCTAGAGTCCTCTGTGACTCCCTATCACCCACAGGACAAATCCAGCCAAGCGACCACTCCCAAACACCACATGCACGTCATTGATGCTTAGCCTCTCTCCTTACTCTGTAGCTGAGCTGTGGTTTTCACCCTTCGGGCCTTTGTCGGTGCTGGTTCTTTTGTCTGAAACACCCAGCTCTTTCTGTGAGAGGCTTTGTGCATGGCTGGGTGAATGGGGGGGTGGGGGTTGGAGGTGGCTGCAGGCCAGGCTGGCTGGAGGGGGAGAGCTTGCATGACATACCATGGGGCCTCACGAGAGTCCACTGGAGGTTCAAGTATCTTTAAGCATCGGTGTGATGGGAGCAATGTGCACACTGAGGGGTGGACCCGAGGTGGCAACCTGAGGTGGGAGACCAGTTAGAAGCCAGGGCAGTGGCCTGGTGGCGGGGGGCGGGGAGGCTTGATGCAGAGCAGTGACTGCCAGGATGGACAGGAGGATGCCACAGCCACCAACACTGGTGGCCTCCTGTCCATCCAGCTTCCAGTGCTCAGTCCTTCCCCACCCAACCCCCCGTAAGTTCCAGCACCTCCAGATCCCATCTTTTCTGCCAAGGCTTTCTCATGAGACTAAAGGCTGACTCCTCTTCCCAATGTCTTACTTCCAGGAAGCAGTGACCTTAAACTTGCTCCCATTTTCTCCTGGTCTCTTCCTGAGAGCTCGTGAGGCTCAGGAGTGTGGAACGCCTTATATCCCAGCACACAAAACCTCGGGTCTGTTGGGATCGCACAGTGTGCACTGGACAAGAAGCGGCACACTGAAGGGAAAGAGCTGAGAAGCTCGGGGTGAAGCTGCACTCAGTGAGTCACCGGCAGGGGGCGCAGATTTCCCTCCAGAGTGGATACAGCACCTTCCTGCAGCTGCCTGCATGGGAAGGCACCCATGTGGCCAGCTGGTCTTAAAACTTGATAAATGTGATAAAGTCTTTCCAACTTTAAGGCTCAAGTATGAAGTATGAGGTAGCACGGGGCAGTGGAAAGACAGGATTTGGGATTACACAGGCCTGGGCTGGAGTCCTGGCTGCATCTCTTGGTGTCTGTGTGTCCCTGGGCAAATCACTTCTCTCTCTCTTCTGCATCCCTCATTTACAAAACGGCCAGGCGCAGGGAGACAGGGCGCAGGGAGATTCATGTACTAAGTATGGTGCCAAGGGATGAACATGGGTTTGGGACTTAGAAGACCTCGTTCTAATCCCAGCTCTTGACAAAAGGGATCTCGGGCATGCTGTACAACATCACGAGGCTCGCTTCCTCCTCTAAAACCAGGACCACGGAGCCCTAGGCTGCAGAGTTGCTATAAGAGCAAAATGAGATGTACGGAGAGCACTAGTTAGAGTGTCCGGCACAGATGAGATGCTCATAAGCCAGGAACCGGATGGGAAATGCAAGTTTGGGGTGGAGAATCGCCACAACAAGCACCACATCCCAAAGAGGGATGGACCGCAATGCAGCATCTGTAGAGCTGTCTGTAAACAGGTTGTCCCCATGGCAGCAGGGGTGTAAAAAGTGGGCATGTGTGTGGTGGCCGGTGGGGGATCTGGGTAGGGGTTCTGGGTGGGGCTGAATCCAGAAGAGGAGTTTGGAAAGAAGTGTCAGGATATTACGAGACCCTGCCCCCAGGTGAGAGGATGAGGGGTTGGGGTGGGAATGGTTCCTCCTTGACCTCAAATCAAGAAAGAGAACTGAGAGAGGCTCTAAGAAGAGCACTCAGGGAGCTTGATTGAGAGGGGTCCCTGCAGCCTGGGGGGCACCAGGAACTGGTGGTGCCTGACTGCTGTCTGGGAAGCCTACAGGGGGATGACAGGCTGGCCAGCTGCCCCTCAGGTGGGGGGGGCAGGGCAAAAAAGAGGGGCAGCTGAAATGGTGAGATCAACCTGAAATGCTCGAGATTGTAGGTGCAAAGGGTGCAGGAGTGCCTCCTGCAGAGCAGACGTGGCCTACAGAGCAAGGGCGGGCTGTGTGGGCCCGTGCAAGACAAGCTGGGGGGTGGGGTGAGCCCAGGAGTGGGGAACCGCCAGATGCTCAGGGGTGGAGGAAGAAGCCACGAATGCCCAACCGGCAGAGTATTTCACCCGGGTCAAGGCTGCTGCTGGAGAGAGAGTCCCAGAATGGGGGTTTTGGGAAACCCCTGGGTTTTGGGAGCACCCAGGAGAGTCTGAAGGGTCTGCTTAACCCCTGCCAGGCCCAGCAAGCCCAATGCCAGCCACTGGCAAGCAGAGCAAGTAAGGTCCTTCCAGCCCCACCCACTACTCCAAGCTCCAACTCTGGAGGATTTAGGAGCCTTAGGAATGGGATCACGGGGAAAAATCTCAGGCTGGCAAAAGAGAGGAACAGCCCCCCTGCACCCCCTCTCCCAGGGCAGCTGGCAGGCCTGCCACTGGCCTGAGCTGGGGGAGGGAGGAGCCATGCCTCTGAATGCAGTTGAGGGTTTGGATATTATGATGGACTCCACATATTAGTTGCTGACCAGAGGACCTTCGAAGTCACGAGACTTTTCCAAATTTTATCCAGGAGCAAGGGAGGAAGAGCAAGCGCCACTGGGAGAGTTAAGAGGATGGCGATGGAAAAGTTTTGCCTTGGACACATCCTAAGAGTCAAGTTGGTGCACGTGGTGGGTATGCCAGCCACACCGGTGGCAAGTGCGTCCTTCTCACGTGAAGGCAGAACTCCTCTCTGAACAAGGAACGGTTAAACCAGGTCCCGGCCCTGGGTCACTCCCCTCTTTCAAGGACTCCCAGTGCCTGAAAGTTGAAGTTCAGAGTCCTTCCCATGGCTCCTGCCTTCCCCTGGGGCCTCCTCCTGCACCACTCTGTCCCCACGAACCCCGTGCCCTAGCCACACTGAGCCTCTCTCAGCGACATGAACACACCCCTCCCTCCCTAGGCCTCTGCACGCAGTTCCCTCCACAGGGCTGGAAAACACCTCAGCTTCTGTCTGGGTAACTGCCACTCACCCTCCAGGTCTCAGCAAGGTGACACTTCCTACATGAAGCCTTCCCTGAGTGCCTGTACTCCAGTACACCCCTCCCCACACCCTGCGTCCCTGAACAGCCCTTCTCACCGTGTGCTGGAAACCCTTTGTCAACCGTCTGGTCTCCCAGGTGGCTGACAGTGTCGAGAGGGCGGGGCAGGGCAGGGGATTGTGTTCATCTTGAACCCCCAGCAAACAGCCCAGTGCCTGGCACATAGTCGGTGCTTAACAAATATTTGTTAAGTAAATGCTACGTGAAGACTGCAGACACCCTGAAGCAGAAGGGGTGATTACCTTCTTCTTCATTTTCACGTTTTTGAAGATGGCGTGGACCCTCCATGTCTTCGCAAACATGGCGCCGAAGGCAGTCGTGTAGCCCACGGTGAGAATCCAGGTCCTGACCTAGAGGCCGTGAGGGAGCACAAGCATTAGCGTCTCCTAGGAGGACCAAGCTCGTCATTTAGGAGAGTACCTCTAGGGGGACCCTAGAGGATGGGGACAGACACTCCACGTATCAGAGAGTCTTACTAGCACCTATGGTCTTTGCATCACACTTCGGTTCGTGAGACATTTAGTTCCATCAGACACTTGCCTGACCCCGGGCCCTGGGCACAGAGGCGTTGGAGATCCAAGTCCTGCCTTCGGTGGGCCCCCAAGGATGCCAGTCATGGGGGGAGGCATGGAGGGCCCCAGGGCCCCTGAGGGGTCAGTCACTGAGGGTGACAGAAGAGCCCTTTGGCTTTCCCTCTTTCGTTCCTTCCTTGAGTACCTTCCACGCGGGGAACATAATCGCTGACTTCTCTGTCTCTTCACCTGCATCTACAGGAGCCCAGGTGGCCCCAGGAACCTCTTCCATGGGGCTCCTGGGTCCTGGGTTGTGGGCAGGGGCTGGAGGAAGGCTCAGAGCCACGGGGGCTGAGACTGGGCAGGTGAGTGAGCCTGCTGTGGGCTTCTGTGGTGCTCAGCAAACCTGCCAGAGCAGGGCAGGACGCAGCCAGAGCTGGCCCTGAGGGGCACCCGACTGGCAGGTGTACCCAGGCCAGCTCCAGGATGCCAGGAGGGGCTGCACAGTTAGGAAAGAAGGCCAGAGGAAAAGGGCTACGACCTTTGCACTCCCCGCAGGGGCCTATTCCCTCAGGCATTTGGAGAAAAGGAGGAGCAGGTGCTGCCTCGATCTTGCTGCCCAGATCCCCCACCCCCACCATGGCTAGGCCGCTTGGCTCCTCCTGCACTGTGTGACCTCAGCTCAGCAGTCTGGTTTCTCAGTGTGAGGCCAGCCTGGCCCGAGCCCACACTGGACCGTGGCTGGCTCCTGCCTATTCCCCAGGACAAAGATGTGCGCTGACCCTCAGCCCTGGGCTGGTGGCTGGTGGGAACTGCCAGCCCTGATAGGAGCCAACAGCCTGGATCCCCGCAGGCGGAGAAGGGCAGCCACCATGGGTTAGGGTGTGGGAGCCTCCTGGATGCCCATTCCCTGCCTGCTCCACCATCATGGCCAGGTTCCGGCCTCTCTGGACGTCACCCTCACCAGCTGGACTGGACACCCTCCAATAGCCAGGACACTCGCCTCACTCCAGCCTCAGCCCCACCCTGGGCTGTGCGCCACTGGGGCCTCCTGCTCCCTGGGACAAAAAAAAAACCCCACGTGCTCTGTGAACTCCAGTTCTAGGCTTTGCTTTCTCTTTTGCCTTTCCTCAGCTCTGTTGAGCTGGATTTCCTCTCAAAAGTCCCCACCCACCTCAGCTGAACCCAGCAAAAAGGCAAATGTGGTGAGAAAGGAAGATAGCCAGGCTGCAGGAGGGCGGCCGGCCCTCGGTGCCCAGAGGGACAGGACGCAGCAGGTCTGCCCAGCCCGGGTCTGCCGTCAGCACGTGCAGGGAGTTCCCAGAAGCTCTCCGGCCGAGTCCCTTCATGCAGTCCCCTCTCTCTGCCTTTCTAGAAACTCGGCTCCCCAGCTTTTCACAGACAACACATTTCCCCTTTCTACGTCATCTGTGAGAACAGGAATGGGCTGGGAAGACTGCCGGGCTGACCCCTGGAGTCCAGGAAGGACCACATCGTTACAGGTATTGTTCAGAAACATGGGCACGTGAGGTGTGAATGCTGACGGGGTACAGGTGGGCACCTATCCTCTCTTTCTTTTTTAAATTTCAAAACTCAGGAGAAACTAGACAGGCAAGAATGGATTGCAGTCCCTTAGAAAGGCATGGGAGGCCACCTCATCAGCCATGGTACAATGTGCGTATGCAAGAAAAAGAAACAGCACAGAGGGGAAGGAAAGATCACTGCGCACTTAGAGCTGAGCTCACTCAGTGACCAGACTGTACATTCCCAGGCCATCAGAGCTGCGTCTCATTCATGCATTTGTTCATTCCTCCGTAGGCTCATTCATAAGTACAGATGCTCTTCCACTTACACAACGGGGTTATGTCCTGGTAAACCCATAGTAAGTTAAAAATACTGTAAGCCAAAGATATATTTAAAACACCCAACCTATCGTTTAGCCTAGCCTCTGTTAATGTATTCAGGACACTCACGTTAGCCCACTACCGGGCAAAATCACCTCACTGCTGCTACCCAGCGTCACAAGAGAGTATCGAACCACATATCACCAGCCCAGGGAAAGATCAAATTTCAAAATTCGAAGTAGGTCTCTATTGAACCTGGATTGCTTTTGTACCATTGTAGAGTTAAAAAATCCTAAGTCTGAACCCCTGGAAGTCAGAGACTGTATTATTAGACCAGAGACTAAGCACATTTGACACAAACAAACAAACAAACAGACAAAAACAATGGAAACCGGGGTGATGTTTTAGGAGCCACCAGTTGGGTGAGAAAAGCACTTTGCAGATAAAGAAGCCGAGACGCAGCACTGACAATGCGAGTATTTCTCTCAACCAGGCCACAAGCTCCAGCCGGAGCTGACCCTGGGCTCCTGCACCTGGGCCCCGTCCAGCCCTCTCCCCCACATCATGTGCCACGAGTCTCCTGAGCCCAAATCAGGCCCATCCTCACCCGGAGTCAGCTGTCACAGGGCAGGGCACCCCGGGCGGGGAGTGGCCTGAGAACACTCTCCGGGTGATCGCAACACCCTTTCAAAGCCAGCGGGTGGCCGTGACTGTTAGACCGATGGTTTTCATGCATTTTTGACAATGTTCTCCTGCTAGAAAAAATAATTTTCAACATGAACATGCACAGAAGGTGGACACTTTAGAAGGACTGTGAAAGATGAAGTAATAGCATTATTTTCACCTCATCACGTGGCTGACAAAGATCTCTTAGTTCACGTAGAAGGGTCACTTCCGCGTGTTCAGCATTGTTATATTTGCTTTGACTTTTTTTTTGTCTTTAAGTAATCATTTCCAGGCCTCTTGTCTATTTTGTGAAGGCTAAATTCATTAAGATGCAGTAATATAAATGAGTTAAGTTAGTGAAAACTCAATAATATAAATTTACCCCGGCATCTGGAAATGGCAGAATCTGCCATGACCTGGAAGCTGAGAGGGGCCGAGATCTCCTGGGCTGGGCGGAGGCACAGGCTCGGCAGACCACATCCCTGTGAGGGCCGGCTGGCTGGGCCATCCCGAAGCTGCCGTCTGCAGACCCGGATGCAGGGGGCGTTCCCACCGTCCCCTTGATGGCAGGCAAGAATGACCCTGTGCCTGAGCCGTCTGTGTGAGCAACTCGGTGTGTGCCATGTGCCTGCTTTCTGCAGAGAGCCTGGCGTTTGGTCAGTGTCAGACAGAGGGAGCCTCGGTGACCCGCCCCCGACAGTCACCCTGAGGGGCACTGAGTGTCCAGTGGGCGTCCCTGGCAGACAACACCCCGCACGTGTTGTCCCAGTTCCTTGCCGGGGAGTTAGGTGTGTCCTGTGTGACTCGGCCGGGGGAGGCTCCTGCAAGCTTGCATCTGGTTTTCCCCAGTCTTTGCCCCTGGAATCTTTTCTCTTCGCTGATTTTTCTTTACGTTCTTTCGATAGTAAATCATTGCTGTGAGTACCTCGGCATGCTGAACCCTGCCAGGGAATGACTGGACTGGGGGGCTGCCTTGGGGACCCTCGCCACAACACCCCCCCTACTCTCTGGTGTAAAGGATCCACCAACCGCTCCGTTCTCGGGAAAACTCCTGCATAAAGACCACCAGACACCCCCGTGAGCAATCAGCCCAAGTAGTAAATATTAGTAAAGCTTAATTGCTTTCATTTCTTTTCTACATAAAAAGTAAATAAAAGCTGTGATATATTCTTCCTCAAGATGATCCCCATGGGTTCACGTCTGGAGGGGAGACTCTGAGCGCAGGAGCGGAACCTGCAAAGACGCCCTGGCCGGCTGGCTCTGCGTGGGGTCAGCCCTGGGGGAGGCCCCGCAGAAGGGGTGTGTCTTTTTCTCCACTCCTCCACCATCTCTTTAAGAAGGAAACGGACCCCGGGCTTCAGCCACTTTCTCGTGCCGACAGTTCCCTTATCTCTTTCTGGGCTCCTGTCTCTCTTCTGAGCTCCAGACCTGCCCGTGCCGCTGTCCCTGGAGATTTAGGTGACACGTAGTCGTCCCATAAAACCTGCACACTCCACAGCAAAAGCTGAGCCCATCGGCTTCCCCGAGCAGCTCCGTTTGTTCCCGACCCGGAGGTGGGCGGGGGGTGCCTTTATCCACCTGCCACCCAAGCCAGGGGCTGGGAGTCCCACAGGAGTCCTCCCCCACTCTCACTCTCCTAGTCAATCCTGAAGTCCCTCTCCTCTTTCTGTCTCGCCCACCTAACCTGTCCTTTGCCCTTCTCTGTGCTCAGAGGTGGGGTCCCAGGCTAGCACCCCTGGGGTCCCCGGCCCTCTGGCTGGATCTGAAAGGCCCATCAGGAGACTGGAGGGCATATGTTCCCAGCTGCTGCTGCATCTGTGCTGCTTCTCTGGCCGCAGCTGGCCCCTCACCGGGCTCAGTCCTCTGGGCTCAGGAAGACTCCTCTTCACTCTTTCGGGCCTAGGAGCGGTGACCCTCCCTGCAGCACCTGGGCTCTGGGGGCCTCCACACCTGTGTGTGCCTCCTCAGCCCCACCCCACCTCTTTCTGGGAACCACCTGGCGGGCTCTGTCTTCTGCCGGGGCTCTGCCGTCTTATTCCCGTGTGTCTTGTTAGGAGCTCCTCCTCTCTGTTCCCATGGCACCATCCACATTGGTCATTATGAGCAGGGCTCCGGAGTCAGACTGGCATGGGTTCAAGTCCTGGCTTTGCCACTTGCTATCTACGTGAGCCTGGGTAGGTCCTGTAACCTGTTGGAGTCTCAGTTTCCTCATCTGCAAAGCGGGGATAACAATAATGCTTCTGACTCCACAGAGTGGTGCAAGGGTTGGATGAAAGCAGGTGTGTGAAGTGCTGAGGCTCTTAATCAAGGTCTGACTTTTGGTCACGT